TGGTCGCATGACTCCGTGACGTTAGCTCGGTAATTTGAGGGATAAACATTATTTATCAATCAAATTGACTTTCATACGGCTCAATCGACGCGGAATCGTTTGGTGGTCACGAATATAATCAGTAAAACGTTTGGTGGTCAACCGTTTTCCCAGAAAAAAGGAAAAACCGTATGCGCATAATGCCGGACATATCACCTCTGTGTCATTAGTCGGAACAATTGTATTTATCATCCAAATTGACTTTGATAGGGCTCAATCGACGCGGAATCGTTTGGTGGTCACGAATATTGTCATTAAAACGTTTGGTGGTCAACCGTTTTCCTAAAAAATAGAAAAAACCGTACTCTCACGCCATTGCATTGGTCGCATGACTCCGTGACGTTAGCTCGGTAATTTCGCATTCACGAGATTTTGTCATGAATTCTGCTTTGCAACAATTTCAGATTGGATCACGGGTCAATACTTTTCAGTGCAATACTGAGAATAGAACGTGAAAATCTTGTATGCCTCTGAATCCAAAAACAATTAGGGCCAAAGCACATATGACAGTCGTAGTCGTGGACGTAAGTAACGCACAAGCTTTGGCGTATCTTAATTTGTCAGGTCGAGGACTACGACCGTCGTATATCGCTACGCCGTGTTATGTGCTTTGGCCCTTAGCAAAAGAAGTGAATCCTTTTTAATGCGAGAATTCGCATTTGTTTGAAGGTTATCGATTGCGATTGAATGCGAGGAATATTTTAAGCTAAGTGAATTCTTTTTAATGCGTAAGCTCGTACTTATTTGTTAAAATTTTGCGTTTCAACACCGCAGCCAGGCGCGTGGTGGGGATAGCGCATACAAGGAAAGAGCTGTGCACACTGTACGCGCACACGTACACGGCTTTTTCCTTGTGTGCGCTGCCCCCATCACACGCCTAGCAGCAGTAGCATCAGTGCTGAAACGCAAGATCGGCTGGATCGGCATGCTTCGTGCTCGAGCTATGTATTCATTATCCCGTCCAATCCCGGATAAGGTCCCGACCATTATTTATTAGGGATGCCATAAAAAAGGTTTTCTTATTTTTGTCTAATGAGGCTCTTGTAAGGATTTGATAAGAATGTTTTAACTTTATAAATATACTTTTTTCATAAATATATTTACGAACACAAAATTTTATAATGACCCGGCACTGGTTTCTGACATTCACCCGACATTAAAAAATATTATATCATATATCCAATGCAAAATTTTATTACTCTTTTTGAACTAAATTTGTTTCTTAAGATAATTTTTGAAAAATTATATATTTGCGCTGGTTATGACATATGTAGACTATATATAACACTTACATCAAATTAAGAAGTAGTCTACGTAAGGCAGTTGGCTCACGATCCAGAGGTCCCGAGTTCGAATCCCACCAAGGGCTGCGTTCGAAAACGTCACCCGGGTACCCACGGGTATACTCTCTTCTCCTTCTAACTCGCTGAGATAGAAAGAAAAGGGAGTATACTCGTTTGCACACAGGTGACGTTTCTGAACGCAGCCCAGGTAAGTGTTTTTTTCAAATACGAGAAAATATTTATAATCATAGACTTCATCTTAAGGTATTCTTTTCATGACACCAAAGTCTTAAGAATTAACTGATTTTTTGGCACGAGAAAGTTCAAATGCATATCTTTACGCCAGAAAAAAATTAAACCACATTACCGAACATATAAAGAAGAATTATGACTTTGAAAATTCGATATTTTATACGTGACATTATCGAAAAAGTCTATTTTTCACATTTCAATGTAATAATTTGTTTATCAAATATTTTGAGATATTAAATATTAACTGCGCTACATATTCGCTAAACTCTATACTTTCAATAGTGCTGATAAAAATACAGAGTCACCGAATATTTAAACAAAATATTTATGTTAAAATTTGACTTGAAATGTGGTTTATAGATGAATATTTTTAATGGCGACTTTCAAGAAATGATTTGGCAATTAACGCTGCAAGCTATGCGCTCATGTCACACTTCAGTTCATTACGTATACGGTTTATTATCAACTATTTATTATGTTTTAAAAAAGAAAAATAATCTAAAAATATATATATCAACATCGGACAAAATCTGACTCCTTTACCAAAATATAAATTACAGTTACAATTGCCAATTATCTTGTTCTTCCAGTTATTTAATTAATAATATTACCGTTTCTGCAACCTTACCTTATTGAATCTTTTTTTTTTTAGAATTGATAATATTTTGAGTGCGCTGCTTCTCTTTTATTTTCACAAATTGTCCTTTAATTTTTCCCACATTACTCCTCACTTTATGTTTCTTATCACTCATTATTATTATAAAATCTCTCTTTGATAAAAAGAAAATGTCACAAAATTTTTTGATTAACGAAATTGACACTTACATTGACACTTTTGTTATCAACTTCACATTTTACAATTGGCGCCCTGAAAAGCGCAGCGTTACCATATCGTTCTGACAGTAAAATTTACCAAAAAAATGAAAAATGTCTAAATACACATAATATTTTCACTTTTTTCTTATAATTAAACATAATAATCAATTATAACTTGATTTTATAAAAGTTTAATGCAATGTACAAGAGTTTGCTGAGGCCCTGCTTAAGCGCCTACAAAATACGCTCCTCCGTGAAAGGAATACCTTAATCAACAAATTTAGTTATAAAATAGTAATAAAATTTCAAAAAAAATCATTTTTTTATGCCGGGTGAATATAAATGACAGAATATTTTTTTGGGTGAATTTAATGCGATCCAATACTTTTCAATGCGAAGCATCAACCACTGCTGTCTCACATTCAGCGCGGTAAAGTTTTATGCGAACCAATACTTTTCAATCCCTTTCTTCGCATCAGAAAGCAGAATTTAAATTAATTCTTTTCAATCCGACATTTTATGCAGGGCAGACCAAGGGGGTAGACTACATTTATCATAAATGACTAAGAAACGGCAGATTTTGCTTATTTTTGAAGTAAATTTGCCATATTATACTCTATTACCAAATTCTGTTATATTTCTACGGGCATTCTATTGACAAACCTTACAGCGGGTATTTTCAAAATTTATTCTTAATAAATTTAGGATTTTATACGTTCCCGCGTGAGCTCGCGCAATCGCGTCTGCTCCGCTCCGTTGTTTGACCGGGAGGAGGTGGAAACATGAGAATAGACGAAGCAGCAAACGCGTGAGGGCGGAGAAGTGCCGTCATTTGCACTTCGCACGAGCGATGCGCGACAGTCGAGAGTCGAGAGAAACACGGGTCATAGCTCAGTCACTTGTTGTCAAGTCGTACTCCAGACATGTCATCCAATGATACTGTCGCCCTAGCGAGACAGGAGGCGTTCAAGGACTTCTCTTATTTCGACGAGGAGACTGTGCCTGCGGTGAGTACCAACGATACCAGCAGTACCAGCTTTCTCTCTCTCTCTCTCTCTCTCTCTCTCTCTCTCTCTCTCTCTCTCTCTCTCTCTCTCTCTCTCTCTCTCTCCCTGTTCTCGGTATGTTTACGTGTTTTTTTTGCGCAATTAATATCTATTTGTACTTCAATCTCTGTTTAACTTACTTATTATCTTTTTTTAGTTTTAAGAATTAGAAAAAGATAAAAAATAAGTTAAATCGAGTTTAAAATTAATTTGGACTGATAGAAATGAACATAAAACCAAATACTATTAAGTGTTACCATTTACCGATGTGCGTTTTGTTCTTTAGTCGTACCATGCGATCATCATACAGAATCTATCTGTATCGTATTTTATCAAAAATAGATAATTTTTTCCTAGAAACACATTTATGTACTTAGATATTTTTTAATCGTAAAACTAAGTAAGAATAAAAAAGATACATAGAATATATATAATAATATTATATTATATCATATTATATATCTATGTATAATATATATTCTAATTACAATATGAAATATGTAATTTAATATGTATTGTATTATATTTATAATATATAGGGTCTAAATATATATGTATATACAGGTTGTATCTAAAGGTCGTTGTCAAACTTAAGAGGCATATATATATCTGTAGAGGAGTGGGGATAGAGCAACTTTTGATTAGGAACTTATGTTTTTCAAAGTAAAGGCCAGCGCACGTACATTGCTGTAGCGTCTTATGTCTTATGTGTGAATCTATGAGCAAACTAATGCATTGCATGTTTTCATATATTTGCTGTAAATTTGCTGACATCGAAATAGAACACGTTACAAATACAGCTACATGACTGCTTATACATGCAATCAGTTGACGCAATTTCAAGAGCAAACGGTCCGCAATATTGGTACGTTATGTTGTCTGCAACATGTCAGCAATATGACAGCAATGAATGATTCATCGTTCCATCTTGAGCATCATGATGCAAACATGACGGCAATAACACATATATAATGATTTCCATCCGTTATTGTTTATATGTCGTCAAGCTATAAAGTTTTTTAATTGTATCTCGTTGCTAACGAAGTGTTGACAATATGAAATTGTCACAAATTCCTCACAAATTAATGCTGACACGTTGCAATCAATTTGCTGTTAATAGAAATATAATTCATATGAGTTCAACCCGATAAGCATAATGCTGTCTCACCTTGTCCCAAGTTTGTCAAAATTAATTGCATTAACGACAAGCTGCTTGTTGGCAACATGGCAACAAACACAGCATTTGGCTATTTGGGTACAAGTTGTGAATGTAAGAAACTATATATTGCGGACAACATGTATATAGCCCGGTCTACAATTACGTAAACGTGGTCGTAAGTAGTTGTAATGATGGGTCTACAATGCGAGTCGCAAAAATTGACTAATCACAGTCACATTTGAAGAGAATAATCGACTGTGATTGGTCAATTCTTGCGACTCACGACTTTATGACTCGCATTGTAGACCCAGCATAAGAGTGTTGTACGGCGTGATTGTAAAGCGGTACTGCGGTTGTAAAGCGTGTTGTGGAAGATGGTTGAACTTTATCTTTCACGACTACGCCAGATGTGAACGTAAGAGCCAACCAATCAGAGTGCTGTTTTTCACGTGACACGTCTAGAGATCCTATAGTGTAACAGAGATTCGCCAATGATCACGTGATCGTGAGATGACGCTGATTGGTCAGGGTGAATTGTGCTTATGTAGCTGCTGCTATATTGAATTATACATAGCGACAACGCGTGTGACACATGCAACGACACATGTGTTTCACTGTCATCTTATAGAGGTTAGTACATTTTACTTTGACGTCTTTTTATTATTTATAGGCTTTTATTCAACGAATTATTGTTATTGCATTATTAAATGCTTTGCATTAATTATTGCACATTTTTTGTTCAGACTCTGCCAACCTTTTGTGCGGCAAATCGCTGTACCAATAACAGTAATAAAGGTTCTGTCTTTAATTTTCCATCAAACGAAGAGTTACGACAGAAATGGATAGCAGCGCTTGGGAAGGGCTCGGATTGGCGACCCACATTTCAAAGAATTTGTGAGGTGAGTGATAAAAATTAATTTTCATTAGTTTATTATCAGCTGTAAAAGGAATAGAGCTTTTAATAACTAGTGTTTCTAATTTATATTTGTCCTATTTCTCAGTCCTGTAATATTTTTCTTATATTTCAGGTCCATTTCAATTCAGTGGATATACAGCTCGTTGCTGGACGGAAGCAATTATGTGAAAATGCCATACTATGCCATTTCTGTGTATGCCCGTATGATAAGGAGACTAATAAAAAAAATAAATTAAGGAAGAAGTCCACCAAGCCATTCGAAACTGCAGATCATGCGTATTGTTCAGAAAAGAAGTCTTTACCTCTTCAACTCCGCTCCTCTAATAATACTTTGCCACACACTTATATATCCGAACACAATTATTTTGCTCACACTGGGAAGGAGAATAAGGAGTATTTTATAAAAGAAGTGTCTAATGATGCAAAGAAAAAATTGGGCTTAGTAAATAGTGAAAGAAATAGACATGTTGATCACTGCCCATTATTGAGGAGTCCGATTTCTATAGACCAATTATGGACAGAATCAAATATGGATATAAATCAGAATGAATCAAATTTGGATATGAATCACAATGAATTAGATATAAATTCAAGACAAGCTTTAATTTCTAAGATAGATACTTTGTCAAAAGACAATGAAAATCTGAAGTTGAAGTTAAATGAAATACGGATGACTCAAACTAGGAAGATAAATGACCAAGATGCAAAACTAAAAGAAGTTACCGCTGATAACAAAGCTTTAAAGAAACAACTAGAGAAACTCAATCAACAGATCATAAGAATCAATTCATCAGTTGATAAATTAACATCAAGACCAAGTCAATATTCTGACAGATCAATTATAAAAGGGCTCAGCCTTTGGACTGCATGTGGTACAAGCGGATACAATCGAGTTAGGAAAGCATTTGATGTTGAGCTCCCTGCACCAAGAACACTTCAGAGAAAAATTCAAAATATTTCATTCAACCCAGGAATCCTGGAGGATATTTTCTTGTGTCTAAAAAGTAGAATCAACAATATGGAGGAGAGAAGTAAACTTTGTTGCCTTGTCTTCGATGAAATGAGTATAGAGCCTAAAATTGAGTACGATCGAGGTAGTGATTCAAACATGGGATACTGTACTCTTCCAGCCCTTCCAATTGCAGCATCCAAGGCTTTGCTATTTCTTATTGCTGGAGTCTATAAACGATATAAACAAGTTTTAACGTACCATTTCACATCAACTTCTACAGACAGTGCAACTGTAAAAGACTTTATTTTATCCCTGTTAGAAAAATGTAAAACTTCTGGGCTTCACGTGCTTGTATTAGTTTGTGACATGGGAAACAGAGGTATTTTAAACCAGCTGGGCTTCAGTTGCCGTAAAAATGATATTCAATACAGTATACAGCATCCTTTTAATAAGAAGGAGAAGTTATTTGCTTTGCCTGATGTAGTTCATGTGTTTAAAAATCTAAAAGAAATGCTCATGAAAATTGGAATTATTACTCTTCCGGATGAATTGGTTCGTGAATATGGTTTACCAACGGAAACTATAGATATGAATTTGATCGAATGGCTTGATGAACAGCAGTCTGACATGGGCTTGAAATTTGCACCAAAATTGAAGAAGAAAAATATTAAAGCAAATCATTTAAAAAAAATGAAAGTTTATACTACAACCTCAGTATTAAATGAACAGACAGCAAGTGGTCTTTTCCGATATGGTGAATTATTTCAGGATCCTGTCATGATAACGACAGGTTGGTTTATATTGATTTTGCGACACTGGTTTAAAATTGTGACTTCCAGAAACAGACGTTTTGCTCTCAGTTTCCACAACATGGATGCTTATACAACTTCCATTAAAATCATCCAACTAGTGAACAATATATTTAAAAATGCTGACTTGGGAGAGAATTGGAAAGTAACTCGGTCTCACGTAATAATGTACTGTGATTGTATATTGGAAATTCAAAACTACCTTTTGCAAGAGAAATCTTTCGAATTTGTATATCTTGGTAATTTGACTCAAGATTCAGTTGAAAATAAATTCTCTCAAGTTCGATCAAGTTGTCCTAAGCCTACAGCAAGAGACTTCAAGTACCGCCTAAAAAATTTGAGCATATCTGGGGAAGCCACTCGCATTTCAAATTCTAGTTACGACCATGATGACAGCCCCACATTGATCAGTCTCATGCAGAAAATTGAAAGGCCAAACACAAAACAAACTTCCGAACTTTCTATTAAACTGCCAAAACTGCAAGACTGTCCATCCTTGTCCTTGGAAGAAGAAGAAACCTTATACAAGATGTGTGGATATGTTCTCCGTAAGCTGCAGTCAAGTATAAAATGTAAAGTATGTTACAATAGTTTACTACACCAGGGACCTGTAGATCATCCCAAAGCTGGACTTTTGCTTGTATGTGAATTTGTAGAAGCTGCATTAGTACGAGTGTCTGATGAAGTGTATCAGATTCTTCATGGTGCAGAATCAATTATAATGGCTTCTGAGAACATAATGAAAGATTTAGGAGGATCACTCAAATGTACTTTGGAAAGTCATATAATGAAGGAATTATCTTCATTTCCATTGTCTACATGTCATGACCAAAGACAAACATTAATTTCAAGATTTCTTAGCATGCGACTCCATCAATTACTACCTTGCCCAAAAAGTAACCAGAATACTGTTTTTGCTAGTAAAAGTATGGGTTCAAGATTACTTGCTGACGCTTTTAATCCACGTCCCAGATAAAAACTTAAGATTTTATATTATTAAGTAAATTCCATTTTGTGCAATTTTTTTATTTTATGTTTTTGTCAATTCTAATATTTTTAGATTTTTAGTTCTTATTCTTGAGAGTGATTTAAATTCAAATTTAAATACATTATTAAATATATTATTATTTATAATATTAAGTAAATCCATATTGTGCAATTTTTTTATTTTAAATGGATATATTATTTTTCACACTTTTGTGACATTGTGCCAAAAATTTAGTTCTTATTTTTTACTAATTTAGATTTTAAATTAGGTACATATATTATTAAGTATATTATTGTCTAAGTAGATTCCATGTTGTGCAACTTGTTTTTTATTTTAAATGGATATATTGTTCCTCACAATTCTGTGATATTTCTCAAATTTTAGTTCCTATTCTTGAGAGTGATTTATAATTAATTTCAAGTTACATATATTATTAAGTATATTATTTTGACTATGTTATTAAATAGATTCCCCATGTTACGCAATTTCTCTGTAAACGTCAAATAGATGTACTATTAATAGAATTTTGTTGAAATATAAAAAACATTTTTTTATTAAGTAAATGTGTATTTTATTTTATATTAATTCAAAATTATGTTACAAAATTATATTATTTAATATTAATTCAAAATTAGATATGTCACGAAATCATATTATTTAATATCAAATCAAATTTATGTTACAAAATCATATTATTTTATATCTATTCTAAATTATGTTACAAAATCATATTATTTCCATATTTGATTCTGTCAATAATTGCTCTAGAGAACTCCTCGGACTCCTCAATAATGGGCAGTGATCAGCATGTGTATTTCTTTTACTATTTACCCAACCCAATTTTTTCTTTGCATCATTAGACACTTCTTTTACAAAATACCCTTTATTCTTCTTTCCAGTGTCAGCAAAATAATTGTGTTCGGATATATAAGTGTGTGGCAAAGTATTAT